GGTCTTGTCCAACCTTCATGATTCTATGACTCCTCCTCTGTGTAAAGAGGAGACCGCGTCTTTGAGTTTAGCGATCGAAGCTGTTGAGCTCATGGAACCAGCGTGTGCTCAAAGCTGGAAACGGACCCTTGGCGCAGGCTCTGGAGATGAAGGGACTAGAACCACGCGCTGCACAGCATCTGCCCACATCAGACACTGTGATGCCGTTGCTTTTAATGGGAGCTGCATGTGGAGAACGCTCCACGCTCTGAACGTGAGGGGGATTTGACGTCACGCTGGTTTAATTTCTTTTTTTTCCACTCTCCTCTTTAGACATGGCATCAGATGTCTCCTCGCTGGGTGCAGCCGTCAGCTCGGGGAACCCTGGACCGGGCGCGCAGGCTGGAGGAGCCATCGTGCAGAGGGCCAGCAAGAGGCGGCCAGGGTGAGTGTGTGCTCTGGGGGGGGTGGTTTTTACTTTTTTGGGGGTGAGGCGTGTGTATGAAGCATGTTTTTGAGGAAACATTCTCTGAAAGAGAGCAGTCAGGCTTGCGGTGAGGAAAGTTGTCTCCTTCTAAGCAAAGAAGTTTCCTTGTTCCTTCAGGGGCTGTTTCTGGTCGTTTTCCTTTATTAAAGCCGGGTTCTGTACTCTCCGTAAAAAGAGGGGATTAAAAAGGTGAGTTGCACCTTGCAGGAGAAGAGGGTTGCTCACCGAGTTTTGAGAGCGGAACAGGAGGCACTGGAGCAGCGGGACAAGCCGGTTGCTGCCAGAGAGGCAGAGGGACAGAGCTGGGAATTTTGGGGCCAAGCCTTCGCCGCTGTGCCCCCTCTGGGAGAGGGTGGGGGGAGCCGCAGCGTGCTCGTGGGAGGGTTTTTGTTTGCTAAAAATGCTGTTGCAAATTAAAAGGCTATTGAGTGGCTGCTTTTAAATTCGTGGCACAAAAAAATTCCTCTTGATTTTCAAGCTAATTACACTCTCTCCTAGCCCTCCTCATTCCCTCAAACTCTCCTTCACCTCCGCTTGCTGCTGCTCCCGCTCCCCTGCAGCTCGTCCCACGCCGTCCACTACTTGTTCCTCGCACCTCCTCTACAAACACGCCCGCTGCTGTGCCACACGTCGGGTTTTTATCCTGAAAGGAAGCGCAGTGAAAAGCCTTTCCTCTCTCCTCCCATGTACACTTGTTTGAAATCTCTTTTTTTGACCCCGCTACAGCAAACACCGGGGTGTTGTCGGCTGTTGAACTAAGGACGTAACTCTGAGGGTCACCAGACTGAACTTTAACTCTTGGATTATTTTACCCTCCTCTTTTTTTTTTTTTTTTTTTTTTCAAGTGCGGCCGATTCCAGCTTTTGGGCAGGGAGTGCTGCATTTGTAGGCTGCTGATGGGTCCCCTGAGCAGCCTGTTGGGCTCCAGGTTGCTGCTGGGAGCTCCGGAGCTTGTGGAACAGGAGGTGGTGGTGCAGTGGGTGCTCCAAGGGGGCTTTCTCGCTTTTGAACTGTTTCCTTGCTCTGTTTCTGATAGATGTGTAAAGGAAGTTCCCTTCTAAACTTTGTGGCTTGTTCCATGTTAGCCCCAGGATTGCTTAAATCTTCCTTTCAAGAATTTTCTCCATCCCTGTAGGGAGAGATGGAAAAGCGACCTGTAGAGGAGAAGCCGCTTGGTTAATGATTACCTCCTTCTGTTTTTCAGGCTTGATTTTGATGATGATGGAGAAGGGAACAGTAAATTCCTCAGGTGAGTGAGAACACTGCACCTAGAAGTTCCTCTTGTCTGGTCTGGGGGTGTCTGTGCCTTCCCCCCAGCACAGGAGCTTCCTGTTTCTGTGCCTTTTCCTCTCCAGCAGCACGGAGGAAGGCGGGAGGAGTCCGAAGGAGGCAGCGCTCCGCTTCCTTAACCTCTTCCCTTTCTCCGAGTCAGCACTATTCCTCCAGCTTTGCAGCCGACGCCAAAGCAAAGCTGCTGCGCACGTGGGGGTGGGTCTGTGAGCCCGGGGAGGGGGCTGTGGGATGGGAGGGGGTCCTGTTGCTGCTTCGGATCCACTTTGAGTCTCCCGGGGCCAGCCCCAGAGCAGGATGAGGTCAGCTGAAGAAGCGAGCCCTGGGTCGAAGCTGCAGAACTCCCTGCTGATGTTGCTGTGCTCGGTACCAGCGTCTCAAAAGATTAAATATTTTCCGTGAACGCTTCCAGCACTCCGCTGGTTGTTCCAGCGCTATAGGAGCACTGCTGCTGGCCCAGCCCCTGGTTGTTTTTTTTTTTTTTGTAGAGAAGAATCTTCTGCCAAATAGTTGAGCAGCACAAAAGCGAGATGCTGAGCTTTTGTTAGTGCCTCAGGCACGTGTTCATGAATTCTCATCTGTTATAAGAATGCTTCGATCGCAGAGACGTCCTTACTCTCGAGGAGCTGGCGAGGCTGCAAGTGTCTCCGCTCGTGATCCAGATGGAGCGCAGAAGAGTTGGAAGATCTCACGTCGTTTATTTGTAGCCTCGCTACGCGGTTTAGGACGGGACAATTTTATTGATAGTGGAGGTCCCTATGTCACGGTCTTTTAGAGATGACTGCGGAGCGGCTTTGAGATAACGGTGCTGGTGAACAGAGGATTTACCTACTGGGATCCTTCGGATGAGGGTCTTGGTTCGGGCAAACTGTGTCTTCAAAGCGCAATTTGACCTGTTTTCGTTGTGTGTGATTGTGGTTAAATTACCGAGTGTGATGCCACTGTCCTTGATTTGAATGCTATGTGGAAAACGTCATCGAGGTGATAAAAATAATTAACTGTAGTCTTTGAACTAGATCAATGAGGAGCGTGGTTCTGGATTGCCCACGCACAGCGGAGTTTGCCTTTTTTTGTGGGATTTATTAAACCTTGTTCTTCTCTCGGTGTCTTTGGGGAAGAAGTTTAAACACTTTTAAGAATTTTTCTTCCTCTCCCCCTTCTCCTAGGTGTGACGATGACCCGATGCCAAATGATAAAGAGCGATTTGCCAGGTAAGATCCCGCTGTGATGCGGTTTTGGAAGCTTTTGGTGCCAAACTACCTTAATGTCAAAGAGATCCTGCAGCACCCTTCCGACCAGCGGTGAGATTCTCTCTCTGTGAAGGAAGCTGCACCAAAGGATCCAGACATTTTCCTTCATGTTTTTTGGACCAGTTCGTTAGGAGTGTGATGAAATTACGTTCCTCGTTTTCAACATTTCTCTCAGCTGTTGCCTTGGACTCTCATTCTTTCCTCCTGCTCAAGAAAATTGCAAAATTACAAGTTTTCGTGCTTAGTTCAAGTTTAGCTTGAACAGGGTTTCCTGGCAAAAGTTGTGGTTTGGGAGGGGAGTTGGGCAGAAGCTTTCGCTCGAAACGGGCGATTTCCTGGAGATCAGAGTGCACAGAAAGGTTCCAGGCAACATTCTGACTCTGTTCACCTGCTGGTGTCTGAAAGTAGCCCTGTACCATCGAATACGGGGACTGCCCTCGGTTTTTACAGCTTTCTGAGGCCCCCAGAACTCAATTTAAAAATGTCCTGGGTTTGGTTTGTGTTGGTGTGTAGTGTTTTTACCCAAGGGAGATTCTCTGGTGTCTATTCCGAGTGCTGTAAATTCCAGGGTATCCCCTCAGCGTGAGGGCACATCACGCCGTAAGTGCTGTAAATTCCAGGGTGTCCCCTCAGCGTGAGGGCACATCACGCCGTGTCTGGCTAAGAGATAAAATGAGCGAATACGGAATGATGGCCAAGACACTACGCTTAGCGGCTTGTCTTAAGGAGGGGTCTGCCTTCCGAAATTGGAGTTAAAATTCAAGTGATTGAGGACGTGGGGGAAAGGACTGACCGGCACGTTGTGTCGAGGAGCCCGAGGGTCCGCAGGGCAGGTGACACCGCAGGGCGAGCCGGGGTGATGCCGGTGGCAGGAGCCTTTCCCTGGGATTTCACTGGTTGTGGGCTGAAGCGAGCGGTCTAGAAATGCTTTGTGAAATGTCTGTAATGTTTCAGCCAGAGCTATAAACCTGTGTCAGCCTTAGTTCAGAGAGGGGAAGAATTGCAAAGCCAAGCTTTCAGGTTGCTGTCATGCTGTTTGTCACCTGTTGAAGGGTGAGCAGGGACTTCTGAGCTGGGGTTCTGCTGCTTTTTGAGTGGTTTGAGTCATTTTGAAGTCAAGAAAATCAGAAATGTGTTTGCCAGCCCCCCTCAAATAACTTTGGTCCCTGGTGCAAGTCATAAGCTCTGGCAGCCCCTAATAATACATGTAAATGCTGAGATAAAGCAAAATTACCCAAAAAAGCACAGGTTGTAGCGCTGAGCAGCTTCACGGCCGTTAAAAGCTCCGCTACCGGACGGTGCGGTGCTGGAGCGGGAGCTGGGCTCCCTGGGACCCTGCTGTGGCCTTTGATGGCCCCGGTTAATACAGATGTCATCGGTGAGGAAGGAATAAATGAAGAAAAAAACCCACCTGAGTGTCACTTGTGAACTGCTGAGGCCAGAGTCTGTCTCTGGGGGGATGAGCAGGACCGATGTGCTCTAACGTGGAGATTGTCGCTTGCGATGAGTGGCTCAGGCAGCAGGGACGGTGGCAGGAGGCGAGGAACGGTGACAAAGTTGTCGGTGTGCTGACACCTCGAGCGTCCGTGCCCCTGCCTGGAGCTCTTGGGTCTGTTTTCCGGGACCGCTCCTCGCCGCTCTGGCAGCCCACATTTTCCACAACGTTCTTTCCTCCTGGGATGACACGAGGCGAAGCAGAGCGTGAAAGCCACCACGCCGACTTGCGTTAAAGCTCAGCCTTGGAGAAGCCGTGTGCTGCCTTACCGAACACACCTGCTGCCTCCCCCTCTCCTGGCCGGAGCTTTCGGGGATTATTTGTTTCCCAAGACAGCTCCAGGAGGAAAACTTACCACCAGCCCCCCTAAAACAAGGTTTGCAGACTCCTCTTCCCTGAAAACCGCAAGCTGCAGGTTGGTGGGGCCGTCCTTTTCGTAGACGACGTGCTAACCTCCGTGTGCTGTTTGTGGTGGAGCCACCTCGACCGTGGCGTCCTGAGCGGGGTTGGTGCAGCAGCGTTACGCAAATGTGCGGTGTTAGCTGTGAATCCTACCCTGAGCGTGGATTTTGGGGGGTTTTAACCTGCTTTTCTGATGTGTTAATGCTATCAAAGAGACTATTGATTTGGTTTTTTTCCTTTAAAGAGTAGTTTAATGTGACTGAGCCCTCAATTCCCAGTTCTGCCATTAACCTTCCGATCTCGCGCAGAGTAATCTGAAAACTTCCAAACCTCGTAGGCAGCAGGCACCCATTTAATGTGCGATGTTGCAGACTAACGACCGCTTTTGTTTCATGTGGAATTGCTCCTCTGCAAAACAGATGTGTCTGTAGGCTGGGTTTCCTAGTACATCTTTCCCATTTTTCATTTCTTTAAACTTTTTTTTCCATTTTTAGCTTAGATCGCTGATTTTATTTTTAGGTCTGATGATGAACAGAGTTCAGCGGATAAGGAGAGACTTGCCAGGTAGGAGAACGGAGATTTCAAGCATGGACGAGCAGAGTATTTCCTTTCCTTAAATGTTTCTCTAGGTGTCCCTTCTCTTTTTTTTTTCCTCCCCCCTCCTTCCCTCCTCTGCTGCAGTAGAGGACTTGAAATGAACAGGCTTCTGGAAATCGCTGCGGAATTGGAATTAGGAGGGGAAAGGCATTTAGTCCCCATGCGAGACTGTCTTGGGGGAATACGCAAAAGGATTTGTTTGCCAAAGACCGCAGGGCAGAGCATGGTTGGGCCGCCGAGTGCTGCAGCTTTGCTAACCTGCGCTGAAACGCGGTTCCCCTTGTGCTGGATCGAGGTGCCAACGGCCTCTTCTCGCCTTGGTCCGGCTTTGTC